AAATTAAACAGGAGTTCTACAAGACGACACACTTGCTTCTTCTTTGTTTATGTTTATAGTTGTTTTGGTCTAAGTTCTTTGTATTTCTCTCGACAACATGGAGGCAAAAGGACTCCTTTTGAAACCTCGCCAGAGTAGTCGGTTCCCTCCACCATACCTGACTGATCTTAACTTTGCCGATGATCTTGCATTAATTTCTCAATATATCAAGGGCGCAGAATCCTTGCTGAATCACTTGAGCAAGCAGCGAACCATATAGGTCTCTATTGCAACGTGAGTATGACTGAACAATCCGAGTTGGTGTCCCTCAATAATACACCCATCAAAAGAGTCGAGGACTTCAAATATCTTTTCGAACATTGATTGAACCGGTTTTACTCTATGGTAGGACTTGGACATAATCTGCTCGTCTTGAACGATAACTGGATGGAACATATAGAAAACTACTTAGAAATATCCAGAACATCAGTTGGAGATGCCATGCAACGCTTAACACAAATTACGGAAAACTGAGACCAATCTCTCTTAAGCTCAAGCAAACAACGATTACAGCTTGCCGGACACTGCCACCGAGCGGACAGGGAAATCGTCTCATCCTTACTCCTATGACATCCTCCTGGAAGTGTCTTCTCACGAAAATTGACTTCCCCAGGCATCATATAGTTCGAGTCTCAGGGTTGGACATTTAGGATCTGGGGAGAGCAATGCAGGACCGAACACTGTGGAAAGGCATTGTCAATGGAGTTCCGACCAACTATATGAAGGTCGAAGGATGATGATGATGATGATGATAAAAGGGTGACATTTATGCGGGTAAGTGGGAAAATGTTGTAGCATACCTCGGACGATAATGGGCATGTCCCCATTCACATAAATACAGTAGTAAATACTCTATGTTGGTCTGCAATTGGAGATTCTTCTCCAGCTGTGCTGGTCAAACACTTTACCACCGGGCAGATAGGATCCCCAGTTGAGGCTATGTCGAAGGGCAGAGTCTCGTCTCGGGAAACAGTTACCCGACCCCGTTCTCTACGGGGTCTATGGGGAAATTTTGGCCGAGCCTACGGGCTCGGATATCCCACATTAAATTCGGCCTTGTGTCACATCTGACCGCGTGGGGCGATTGTTTAGATATTCTGCCGTTGGAGTTTCATTGTGGAATTCACTTCTAGCAGTTGACTACTTCTCTGCACCGCTGGTGAATCTTATATGCGTTGTATGTGTCCTAAGTGTTATCGTTCATTACCAACCTTCACGTGATTATTCTATTCAGTAACCTTTCCTAGGTTACAACAGAAAGATAACGGTTAATCTAAAACTTGAAGATGTTGAGATGATTCTTGAGCTTTTTATCAGGGAAAGCTTCTTTATTTTTATACTAATGCTCGTGCAATAAAAACTCAAGAACCACTCAAGGTAGAGCGCTATTGTGTGGTGCTGTATAAGCGCAAGAAAATCCAAGAAGAAATGTTCATGAGATTATGTAAGAAGAAGCTCTCCGAGTGGAACTTACTTCTTATTAATAGAATGACGATGATTCATTCTTGTGTTTGTGGCAAGATGTGTCCAAGTTATAAAGGTCAGGGTTGGTGGGACCAAGAAATGCAGCTCGTCAGAACACACCCTGAGATTCTGTTCCACAAACAACAGTTCTTGGGAAGAAGCTATCTTTTCTAAAGAAATAGGAAGGAAATGAAGGGGGTTCGCCTCAAAGTACCCGGCGTCGCGTGTTCTAACTGAGAGGATTAGAGTTGGAGTATCTAAGGAATGTAGCTCGCCTGAATATTTTCAATTAAAATACTGCTAGAGGAGCAAGAGCTTGCGATTCTTTATCTGTGGTTGTCAGATGGAAAATAATTCATCACCCGCAAGGTTGCGCAGACACTTTCGGACTCTATACGAGTGGAACTTACTGCAGGAATACGAAATGAATGAGGGTGATTCACCTCATTGATCGGGGTGTGTCGAGTCTTAGCTGAGAGGGTGAGAGATGGGGTAACTAATGAATGTAGCTCGTTTTTAACATTTTCCATGGAAATAGCGATAGAGTATGCCATATAGGACATAAATTGACTCGTCCGTTTATGTAAATAAGTGGATCTAAGCTGAGTTGAGCCACGGGATCAATCGGATTTCCTTCGCGAGACACTTGTTGGCCATTCCTAGGTCCAGTGACCTTTCCCGGCCTAGGAAGGTCTTCTATCGTTTGTTCGTGGAGGGGGTCGCGAAGGATTGCCTACGTGAGGATCTCGGCTTGTCTGAGGATGAGTTTCGCTCTTACTGGTCTTGGGCGCCAGCGGCGGATTACCTCAGTAACCCTGAGTTTTCGCTTAGCTGGCGATTGGCTCGGAATCGGCTGCCTCTCAATGACAAGACCTTCATATGGGGCTTGGCGGATTTACCAGACTGTGAACGGTGTCGCCTTGGTTTAGAGGAAACGGCTTCGCACGCCTTCTACGATTGTCCCCGGGTCTGCCCCTTATGGGACCATGTCAGCGAGCTGACGGCTCGTCTCGCTCCCAAAAAGCTCGTGCCCATTGATCGCGCATACGCGTGTGACAATGTGTCGCCCCCGTATTCCGGGGTGAAACGGATGGTGTTTCTGACGCTGCTGGCCACGGCCCGAATGGTGATTTGGACGACGGGACAGGAGGAAGTCTTGCGGGGTATCCGTCTTTCTCATCAGGATCTGATTCGATTCTTTGAGCATCAGCTGAAGATGAAGATTAGAACTAATAGAAAACGCTTTCATTCGACAGTCTTCAGTGAAAGGTGGGTGACTGAGGCGAGCTTGGTTCGTTTGAACAAGGCTAGCCTTGATTTTCTCTTTTATGTCAAGCCTACGTCACATCGGGGTGGTTTCCTGTGGAGCCCTCTCCTTGGTTAGGTTAGACAAGATTTTGTGTACCTAGTTAATGTGAGTTAGTGTTGTTCCCGGCCTGTCCCCGGCCACATCTTTGGTTATGATCCAGGTTGAGATTTCCAACCTCCCCAGTTTGTTTTTGGCCCCCTTTTTATCTCGCCTGGGTCAGCTTTATATTTACCCATGCCCGTATGATTTTTTTTATCTTTTTCCCACTCCCTTGGCGAGAGAGCCTCTTGATTTTGTCCAAATGGGCAGAATACAGCGGCCTCTCATTTTTAAGGCTTGGAAGGGCCCTACTAACATCTGTTATGTTTAGTTAGTTTTGTGTATCGTTTTAGTTTCTTACTGGGTTCATCTCCTTCCCCTTTCATTTCTCTCATCCGTAAATTTTTAATTGTACATATATAATCATTATATTTTTATGGCATAGGGCGCGTTTTGTAGGTCCGCTTTGAGAGGATGTGGTATTATGGTGTATGGAGGTTGATCGGTGACCGACGAGTTCTTATGGTGAATGTGGAAATTGTAATGTATGAATAGGTCGTGAATAGGATTACCAGGTATAAGATAGATAGTGAAGACCAGCTTCAACCCCTCCCATTTTTCGGCCTTATGCCATAATTGTATTTCTTGATACAATAAATATAGTCAACATTAATTCTTAGCCGCGTGCTAAGCTATTAGTGCTTGTCAAACACTCTACCTTTGGGAAAAGCGGAGACCAGACGAGACTATGTCGAAGGGTAGAATCTCGTCTGGGGAGGTAGACAAACACGACCCCGTTTAGACGGGGTCTACGAGGAATTTTTGCCCGGCCCTGCGGGCTTGGAACGCCCCACGTTAAAAAAAAGGCCTTGTGTCACACCCCGCCTTGTCGGGAGGACTTGGGTAAATACCGAGTCAGCATTAGGTCTTAGCCGTGCGCTAAGCTCTTAGTGCTTGTCGAACTCTCCGCCTTCGGGCAGAGATGAACCCAGACGAGACTATGCCGAAGGGCAGAGTCGTGTCTGGGGAGATAAACAAACCCGACCCCGTTATTACAATGTACGACGGGGAATATTTTGCCCGGGCCTACGTGCGCGTAAAAACCCGCTTTAAAGCGGCCTTGTGTCACATCTCGCTTTGTCGGGAGCTCAGATAAATACCGAGTTAGGATTAGGTCAATTTCTATGCTTACCGTCATGTAATAAACCTTATATTTTTTTTACTTACCTACGGGTTTGTTTTCCTTTTTGGACTCAAGACTGGAAAGTAAGACTGTGCAGCCCCAGTCTAAATATGGTACTCTATTTTGTCCTGAATTAGCTCTTGTAAAGTTAAACCATAATACGAAGAGTCAGGTATGTATAGTGACAGAGAGGTTCAGGGAACCGACTACTTTTCCAATAACTTTAGCAATGGATCGTATATAAGAGTTCCACTTGAGGTCATTGAAACATTCAGCCTTTGAACTCATTCTTTGGCGTGGCTTAACTTGAACTGCCGTTTTCAAAGGATAATTTGAAACATGACATCGTGTTTCTGTTCTTCCTAAATATTCGACATCATTAACCGGAAACTATGATAACATTACCTCTGTCCATTTTCAGATAAGGTTCACCTCTAGAAAGTTTAACAATATATGGAGTTGTTTCTGATCTGAACTCATTGAAGTAAATGTCTACATCTGTTAAACATATTCTTCTCTTCGGTTCAACAAGTTTCACAAGTACGGAAATATATAATCAACCGAAGGCAGTAGAGGGTAAAATGCTTTTCTAAGAAATTGATATTTGTCAAGAGATTTCAAATAAGATCAAAATGTTGACGTACCATGGTATTAATCCAAAGTGGATATAAGAAGATGCTTAAAAAGTTGAACAATGAGCATTTATTTCTGGCCTTTTTTGTTTTCGCCTTCATTCATGTCTTTTGTGGTTATTTCCTTCCGTTTTTACTATTCCTTTCTTATTTTTTTCTTTCTTTCTTTTTTTTTGTTCTTTTTCCGTGTGTAATTTTCTTTCTTTTTGGCTGATATTTACTTTCTTCCCCCCACACCCCCTCTTGTTACCGTCCTTTTCTTTTTCATTTTTTTCCCTTATCCACTTTTTTTCATCTTTATATTTTTAATTCATACTCTTCTTTCCTTTTTTAGTTTCTAATTTATTCGTTCATTTCTCTTTTCTTGTGTGTGTGTGTGTGTGTTTTTCTCTTTTTCGTTCACTTCTTTCTTTTTCTTTCTTTTTCTTCTTTTATTCTTTCATTATTTTCTTTCATTTTTTCATTCTTTCTTTTTCTTTCTTTTATTACTTTCTTTCTTTTCTTCATGCTTTCTTACTTTCTTTTTGTCCTGTCTTCTATATTGATTTTTCCTTCTGTTTTTTTTCCATTTTTTTCCTTACTTTATATTTTCCTTTTTAATCGTATTTTATGCTTTTGCTATTTCATTTTTTCTTTTAAAACATATTTTCCCTTCTTTTTTTCTTAATTTGTGCTTAATTTGTTTTTCTTTCTTATTCCTCTTTTATTTTTATATTCTATTTTTATTCATATTTTTTTACATTCTATTTTTTATGTTCTATTTAAATTTCTTTCTTTCTTTCATTTTCTTTCTTTCTTTCTTTCTTTCTTTCTTTCTTTCTTTCTTTCTTCCTCAGCCCAGATGTCCACACGATTATTCCAAAAATACCATATGACAAAAAAATAAAAAAAATAAAAAAATAAATAAATAAATATACCACCTCCCACTTCCAACACAATACTCTCGAGTCCTCGGGGGTTATGATGATAAGGGCCTAAAAAAAAAAAATTAACAACAACAAATAAAGAAAAAAAAAAGTATTCGCTGATGGGAAATGTCAACCACTACAGAACAGGTGGGAGACTGGGTCATAAAGAATGGGGTGTGAATGCACGAAAAACCCATGAATCTACTTGATGTAACGGAAGACGAGCAACTAAACCCACATAACAACCCCAGGAAATTGTGCCAAGGGACACCAGAAGTAAATAGAGACATGCGGACATAGTCACTACGGAGAAGACAATGGTCATTTTGTAGGCATTTCTCTTCTTACCTGCATCCACACCCACCAAGCCACAAGATTCATACATTGTAACAGTCATAAGGAAAAATTACACACCCCATTATGTCTACGTACATAGGTACATACTTACAAACAAACGTCGTTTTATCTCAGTCGGTTCATTATCTATCTATCCTATTCTGCTCATATCTATCTATCTATCTATCTATCTATCTATCTATCTTGATTAACACAGAATACAAAAATGAAATTGAAAAGAATCCATAATCAAAATCTACATAATTAAGAATCGATTGAGGCTAAATGTTTTGTGAGCATTCTCGTGTTTTTAAGATAAATGATAATTTGAATTCGTCTATTTTGTAATTATTTATATCATTCTGTCTTCGCCACCGCCACCCACCCCAAGACACGTATAGATAAAACAAACTAGATTGCTCTACGAAGTTATTTTTTAAACACGCATTCTTTCTGTCATTTTCTTTCTCACAGTCTGTCTTTTATTTGTTTTTTCACAGTTGTGTTCACCTTGTACAAGGCGCAAGGGTCACTCGAGGTAGAGCCTTAGAGAGTAAAAGGCACAGTTTGAGTGGAACAACTACAATGAATCAATAGCTGCATTTGCTGCAAGGAAAGTTGGCTCACTCTGTTGTGCTAGAAAGTTTTTCTCGTTAGAGTCCATCCTACATACGAGAGTCATTCAATAACTAAGGTGAATTTTTCGGTATAAGGACTTCTAATACAAATAAAAGCTTACTTTTTTTAATTTTTTGTTTTATTTCTTTTTCACATGGATTTAATTTCTTTTGCAGATTAAAAAAACTTTGAGAGTTTTGGCGATTAACAAAGATGGCCGACCAAGAAGCATGCCCCAGGATTGAACAGCGGTCAGTTATCAAGTTTTGGGTGAAGGGTGCAAACCAGTTGAAATTCATAGGAGAATGTCAACTGTGTATGGTGCCACATGTTTCAGCCAAAAAATATCTACAAGTGGGCTAAATTGTTTAAAGAAGGACGGAGCAGTGTTGAGGATGAAGACAGGCCTGGGAGGCCTACAGAAGTGAGGTCTCCTGAGGTGATCGAATCAATCAATAACCTCATTTAGTCTGACAGAAGAACTACTGTGAACTGCTGAGGCAGGTCAAGAAAGACATAAAGAACAAACACAGGGGTCATCAGTCAGAAGGAGTCATCTTGCATCATGACAACGCAAGGCCTCACAAAGCAGCCCAAACGGTTCAGACCATCAACGAGCTGGGCTGGGAACTGCTCCCTCATCCCCCTTACAGCCCAGACCTTGCCCCTTCAGACTTTCACCTTTTTGGTTCATTGAAAGCGTTCACGAGAGGCACGAAGTTTAAAAGGGACGATGAAGTCAAAAGTGTTGTGAGCGACTGGCTGAGACATCAGTCCAAAGTTTTTTACGCTGAGGGAATACGGAAGCTTGTGCACAGATGGGAAAAGTGTGTGACAGTGCTGGGAGACTACGTTGAAAAATAATAAAAAAGTAAGCTTCTATCTGTATTAGAAGTCTTTATACCAAGACATTCACCTTATTTATTGAATGACCCTCGTATTTACAAAAATGCCATTCGTCCGTACATTGAGTACTGTTGCCATATCTGGTCTGGTCTCCCCCACCCCCAAGCTGTTCATCTCGAGGTTCTTGACAAACTCTAAAGAAGGATCTGCAATATAATCGATCCTGACTTGGTATCTCGACTTCAGTCACTTTCTCACAGACGTGATGTGGCTTCCCTCTGTCTTTTCGACAAACATTTTTATGGCTACTGTTCTGTCGAGCTTTTTTCCCTGGTGCCCCGACTACACAGATTTAAGCGTGCTACTAGATTGGCATCTAGTTCCACCCTTTTACCGTTGAAATAGTTAAATGTAACCGCCACTTCTACTCCAACGGTTTCTTTTCTCGCACTTCTTGCTTGTGGAATTCCCTCCCGTTTACTTGCTTTCCGGATAACTAAATGATCAAAAATTTAAATGCAATGTCATTCGACATCTTCTGTTGTCATGAACTCCGTTTATCTTTTATCCTTTCCTCATTCCCCCACCCCGCCATACACGATTTTTTCTCTCACCTTCACTCTATGTAACCCCCTGCGAACTACCGCCTTGCTTGGGATGAAATGCTTAAAAAATATGTTGGAAAGATAAATTTGAACTGGTTAAGACTTCAGTGACTGAGAAGGCATCCTGTTGGGGGTCGATTCCACATCTCACTAATAGAATACGGAGGGTTGTTTGCTACAATGTGAGAGGCATGGCGGGTCAGTAGCGTGAACAGGTAGAAATATAGAAGTAAGTTCGTCTGAGCACTTTCCAGGCAAATAGCGATAGAATCAAGATGCTTGCAACGTTTCGTCTGTAGGAAATTTCCCCCACAAGGATGCGGAGACGCTTTAAGACTTTAACGAGACTGGAATATGAAGACTTGGCAATTCCTACCAGTATATGACATCAGTGCTCCATTCTCAGCCGGATCTGGCTCTTGTAAAGTTATATGATTGTCAGGTGGAGTCAGGTACTTACTGGAGCGATACAGGGCACTGAGTATTTTTCCTGCATCTTTAGAGATAGATCGTATCTGTCTCTTTTTCTCTATGCCCCACCCAATTGTTATCCCTGTCTATCTGTCTGCTTCTCTCTCTCCTTCTCTCTCTGCTCCTCTTTCTGTGTACGTTCCTTTCTTTCTACCTTTTTTTTTAAGCGTTTCACCCCAAGCAAGGCGGGAAGCCACTAGGACGCAAGGGGTTACAGAAAATTTGGAACACGATCAGATAGGAGTGATAGAAGAAAGGATGAGGAGAAGGGTAGTGGATAGCTCAAGGAAACTGGAGATTTCGATTGACATTACATTTGAATAGCTGGAGATTATAGCTCTCAGGGAAACTGGAATAGGGAAGGGAGTTCCACAGGCGAGAGGTGCGAGACAAGAAGCTATTGGAGTAGAAGAGACGGCTACATTTAGGAGTTTCGACAGGAAGGGTGAGAACGGGATGCCAGCTTCGTAGGACGCTTGAACTCATGAAGTCTGGGAACCAGCGAATGCAGCTCCTCGGAGCAATTACCATGAAAGTATTTGTAAAAAAAGACAGAGAGGCGACGCGCGTCTGTAAGAAAGTGACTGTAGACGAGATGCCAGAGCAGGGCTAATTATATTGCATATCCGCCTCTGGAGCCTATCAAGAACCCTGAGGCAAAACAGAAGGGCTCCAGACCATATATGGCAGCAATACTCCATGCAAGGGGCCAATTGTTGATTTGTAGATCTGGAGGATCGATTCTGGGAGAAAAAATTTCCTGGCGCGGCACAGGGAGCCAACTTTCCTTGCGGTGGACGAAGCAATTGACTCAATGTATTTGTTCTATCACAGGTCAGCCGTCAACGTGAGACCGAGCAGCCGCAGAGAGTTGCTCTCGAGAAGTTGAGCGTCAGACATTCTAATGGAGGGAAGGATCTCTGTGGTGATTAATAGAGAGAAGTTTTGTTTTTGAAGCATTAAAGTTGACCAGCCAATTCCTGCCCCAGTTCACAACGGATTGGAGGTCCTTTTCGAGACTCACGGCCAGGTTAGTTTTGTCAGTGACACTAGATTTGTTTTTGAGGCAGGAATAAATTGTGGTGTCATCCGCGTAGATGCCAACTTGGGAATTTATGGCGTCAGGAAGGTCATTTATACCTCTCTCTCTTTTTCTTTCTGCTTCTCTCTCACTGTTTATCTCTCTGTCTCTCTTCCTTTCTTTATACGCGCGAGCGTGTGTGTATGTAGTGGGTTATGGGCACATGGCCGATTGGTTAGAATCTTTGCTTTTCGACCATGAGACCCGGGTTCGAATCTCATCATGGTCCAATTATCAGGAGGGTGTTTTTTTCATTCGATCTGGGGGAAGTGATCCCAGTGTGCGGCCGTGTGTTGGAAAATGCTTGCAAACCGTATGATGGGTTTGACCCAAGCCCTGTCAGTAGATTAGACGGAAATATTTGGGATCCGTCAATGGTTTTGCTAGCTCGAAATCACAAGTCATCGTGACCGACAGTTTGAGCGTTCTGGCCTTGTTCAAACTCTCGAGGACGTTAGATAATGCGCTCTCTCCAAGAAACTGTAACTAACGTCCGCTCAGAATATTTACAGTATAAAAAGCACATGTGGACTCTATGGGTGTTGAACAAGCAGAAATGTACCTGAGCAGTCGTCTGCAACGGAGATTGGCGAGTCACCTTACTAGACAAGCATCTTCGGATATTAACGGTTAGATATTATTATTTAATGGCAACAACTGTTTGAGTTACTATTCCTGTTTTGTGTTTTTTCTTAAACTGAAATTAATAACAAGCAGCCTAGCCCGAATTCACTG